TTAGATTTTATCAAAGTATGTAAACGAATGTAATATTTTGTGGCATACTGTCCAATTTTTCGCTGACGATGCCAGGCCCATTTCCGCTCGCAAGAGTCTCAAGATCGGGACTTATATATATATATAATTATATATATATAATACATATTCCCTATGACATCCATCTGACTTCTTTTTCTTGGAATCGTGTCCTCATCGTGTCTTTTCGCCTCGAATCAAACAAGTCTGTTGATTTATTTCCTGCATTTGCGCGCGTTTGTCGAGTTGACGTCACTCATGGTCGCTGGCTTGAAAACCCGAGATCGATATCTGATATCTGTGTCTGCGTGTCTACGCTCCTTGTCCAAGCTCTTCCAAACCTGGCAGTTTGACGTTTGGCGGGGCCTATGAAGTGAAACTTCGTTTATAACCCCGACTAGCAAACGATAGCAAACGTGTCACAAACATTCACAAATGTTCTGTGAACTCAAACCGTTGCCACAGGAACCAGTCAATTTCAACTTTCCTTGTTTAATTTTGTTGAAAGTTGAAACGAATGTGTCCACCTTAGAGTGCGGTGCCAATGTCCTGCAAAGAGACCCGTGCTAAAGCCTTATTTGTTTCTGCGCGTCTCCAGCTACTTCTGGGCCACCTTTGGTCTACAATCGTACACATAAGTTACATAACAATGACTTACGAAGAGATACGAAGAGAACACTCCCAGTTGCACACACTGGTCACTATATGCAACTGCATCAACTGCTAGTGCAGCTCTTGGTGTCTTGTGATCCATCAAAAGGTGTTCCAAAGATTCTCAGCTCTCATTGTTCCTTCAAAGAATAGAGCTTGTGAATCGCTGTCACCATACATCTTTGGTTATCTGATGCTATCAGTATACGGGTATACGCAACCTGCAAATATCTGCAAATAAGCAATAGGATGCAATAGGCACGGTGGGTTGATCTGTGCCTCTTCTTTGGTTCCCTTCAGGTCGGTGAGCATACTAGCCACCTTGATCAAGCGGAGACAATGCTTGAGACTCACATGCTCGAAGTCTCGCCAGAGCTGGAGTGCACTTGATTCAAGTGGTTCTTGTCACACGGACGCTTCAATAAATGCAGCTAGTAGATTACCAAACACAGCCGAGTCAATGTCTGTCGATTTCAGATAAAACATACAGTATTAATCAGTATTATAGTATTTGTTTTACTCGCGCCATGTATCGACTCTGTCTTGGTGAAAAGGGTGTGCTCATGGCTCACTGATCATGTTGAATTACTGGAAACTGTTCGTTCACTTTGGCCATGTCTGCGATTTCCTGCCTCCCCAGAGGTCCATTTACTGTAATCATTGTTGTGGCTGGTTGTGCTTGCAGTGGTTGTCATGCTGCTGGTATTGCTGCCGCGGTTGTGGCGACGTACGGTGTTTAAATTGTGCTGCTGATGCCATCTGTGTCCACAGTGTTCAGTGAATGTCGGTCAATATATAACATGTACACACGTGTCATATCGTGTCATTGTCATGTTGCGCAACTGAGGCGCACTAGAGTCACTAGATTGCTAGGTCTGTTACTTGAAATGTCAAGTAAATTTGCGCTTGAGGCAAGAACTTCAGCGAAACTGTCGCGGTCTGTGATGTAGCCGGTGTGCTTGGGATCAAGATACACGAATGCCTGCATACCAGAAATATCGGCACCAAAACGTTTTTCAGGCACATTCTTGCACTCAAAATGCACATGTCTATACATTTCTTGTCATTGTTGGTACGATCCAATATCCAAAAATCATCAAAATCAGCAAAGCACAGCTAGTCATAGCTAGTCTGCAAGATCCGCAAAACGGAAATGTACGCCTCGTGCAAAGTTTTGAATTTGTTCTCCTGGACCTGGACATGGTGTTCCACATGCATCAACAAATCTGTCATCCCATGAATCCCATGCAATGTAACCCGGAGTTTAGTCACAACAGATTAAACAAGTCTGCAGTCTACATGTATAGCACGAAACACAAAGAAACACGAAGCAAGCAATGAGGTATTCGATGTATTCGCCTTTTTTGGTGGCACTTCGACTGTGATCCTGGCCAATTTGCAGATCGCTGTCGCATACTCTGAGTTCTTGAAGTCACATGAAGTCACAAACTCAAAACGATCTCTGAACATGATTCAAACGTTTCCAAAATGCAATACTGTTTCGTATGTTTCATCTGTTTTGTGCCAGCAATACTTGTCACCCGGGCCAAAGCCCTCTGGAATGACTACCTTGCGGCAAGACTGAGTATTGAGGATGCCCAGGCACAGTGGCACCAAAGAAAGCTGAGGAAAATTGCGACATGCACAAAACCATCGGTGTCCGGCCTGAATCAACCGCCCATCTGGGGTGCGAAATTTGATTTGACTACCAGCAGCAACCCCTTCAGGGATGATGACCTGCCACCATCTTCCAACTGGAAGTTCTCAAAACACTGCGAGGAGCTCGCAAGTTGAGCAACGGCTGTGACTCAGGCCATACTCTCCAAAGTCCTGCCTGGACTCTCTCCTTGCTGACCTGTAATGAAAGAAACCGAAGGGGGTAAACTCAGTAAACTCAGGACACTGGTCTCAGCACAGAATAAAATGTAATTTCAGAGTACTTTCATGTAATTATCATTAATATTCAT